ACCTTTATTCAAAAGCCTGCAATCGATCTGTTTTTATTCCCTGACCATTTAGATAACCTCACCTTTGCCTATATCTCCAGCTGCAGAGCCGTATTTCCAACTTTCTGCAACAACATACTGTACAGTATGGGATACTAGACATTCCTGATCCCAAATTCCCTTCCACTCTATAGTGTCCTTCTTATTAGAGGTGTCATGTTCTCCGCAAGGTCTCCAAGTGTTTCGATTCTCTTTCACCTTTCAAAGATGTGCTAGTTGGTAAACTCAATGCTCTCTAAACTGTTCATTGACACCTGAGGTGAGGTTCTCCCTTGTACCTTGTGTTTCTGGGACAGGCTTCTCTTCACCAGAACCAGGATTGAGCATCTTTCTGATCCTAAATAGATGCCTGATATAATAGGGGGCTTTTCAAGGACAATATATTAATAGAAATTGCATATGATGCTATGTAGCTGTATTTTCTCATCAGATTTGTAATTCAGCTACTAAAAATTAAACTGAAGGTTCTCTGATTTGGTCAAAAAGCTGCACAGGGAGGCTTGTCATATTTATTCACAAGAGCCGCTGAAGCATGTTCTCAAATGGATGAGGATTAAAAATGATTATGAAATGATAACCATTTTAAACAATACTGTAATCCTAAAAACAAAAGAAGTAAAAAAAAAGCCACCTTCTTCTTTTTAGCTGATTCACTAACAACTGCACAGCATCAGATTTCTTTTTGTAGGAGTATTCTTCAGTTTTGTTCAGTAATTCGACCAAAGTGTGCCTTGCCTAGAAATCAATAAATAAAACATTCAAATTTAACATAATGAATCAATTAAATGATGCACTGTAATTGTGCAATCAATACAATTTAATAATAGTCAAAAGTACAAAGAGAGTTTCGTTGACATGTTTTAATTTTTGTTGCATAAAATTGTACTGATGCTGATTTAAGATTTAAACATTTCCGAATTTTTTTTCCCTTTAGTTTGTTTTTAATGTTTTCCACATTTTTTAATACTGGTAGATGTTAATCCTAAGTACAATCCATTTGAACATATAAACACCACAAATAATATATT